CAAAACATTTCTCTGTTTAATCATGTGCTCAAAAGTTAAAAGTTAAAAAAGATTTTCTAAGGAAAAAGCAAAGTAACGGAGTGTCAGTGACGTATTAGGAAAGAGTACATTCTAATCAATATGTGCACATAATCTTTTTCTTGTTCGAGTTTTTCAAAAGCAAAACCAACGAATGGTACGATGTAGCATTCGTCTGATCCTGTATTTGACAGTATCGTGCTATACTCAAACAGTTGCCCATCGAAGCTCTTTATATTCCACGATTGCTCCGTTTGACATTTTTGGCGGGTTTTCTAACTATCTATAGAAGTGGAGAATAGAAGATCGCGTAGAAGACAGGAGCAACAGTCAGTAGAATGGACCTATAGTTGTTGATCTGTATACAGAAGAAAATACTACCGTTCACTTCATACAAGATCTACTTTAGTTATCAATTACCGATCTATCTGTCAATTTTTCTGAAAGTTCTGAGATTATGAGAAATCAGAGAATGTATGTCTATAACATATCGATGATAATTAACTTTCTAACATGACCAAAGTGCGGAAAAATATCTAGGGAAATGTCGGGATTTCTGATAGAAAAAACGTTGCTTTCCTCTAAAATATCAATAAAATTTAACATTTCTCTGTGAAAACAAGAGTATCAACGTTAAAAATCGTTTTTATATTAAACCGTTGCATCATAAGCTCAGAATCATTTTGCATCAAACCATTTGTTTAAAGAGATTTGAAGTTGTACGCATTAAATTATCAAAACTATCGTCTTAAAGGTGGACTAGAGAAAAGTACCCAAACAAATCAATTTTATGCTGTTCAAAAGTTAAAAAACCTATCTGATATTCAGTAGATCGACTCTGAGTTGAGTTACGAATTGAAATAGATTGATTTCAGATAAGGTGATAGAGTATATGAATATATTTCAGTCTGTTGTCTCATGGGATCAATTTGTAATTAAATAACGGCAAAAAGAGAAATTTTTATCATGTACTTTATTGCTATAAAATTTTAATTTGTGAAAACGTCTCTTTTTCTTAAAGCTCGTTTTTATTTACTGTGAAAGAGAGTTAAAAAACATTTTCTATTCCATATTTATCTTCAATTTAGGATTTTCTAGTGCTTTTTCATTGCGAATATTTTACAGAGCTCACAAACACTTGTTGAAGTTATGCTTAATATACCTCGAAAAATTGGTCAATGTCGAATTTTTCAAAAAAATAATTACTAAATAAACAGTAGATGGTTATTCGAACAGGATAGCATTAGAAATGTTCTCCTGAGGCTAACAGACATCAGAGAGAAGTTTCCTTTTAGAAAAAATTGACTTTTGCTCAATATATATTTATGTCTCTGTGCTTCTTCAAAAAAATCAATTTTTCTCTCAGTTCGATGAGTATAATATTTTCTCAATACTTGTAAACCTAATTTTAGATTGTATTTTGTCTAAATAACCGAGTACATCGTACCATTTATATACGGTGGAACCAGATATAATAATTTCTAAAATTATATTGTTAGACTGTACAATATGAACATAACGACTCCGCTTACCTATCATCAAACCTTCTCTCCGTCATCACAACATCATCAACAGCGACACCACCACCATCGCCACTACCAAAAATATAAGCCATAAAAAAGTTGTATAGCTCCGAAATGAACGCTTAAATAGCTAAAATATCATCGTTATGGAATCACGCATTTTACAAATAACTATGTTTTCGTAGTTCGATTTTTCCTCTCAAGAATGAGCGAGAGTTAGATTAAAATGACATTATTGCAACCTCAAAACATTTCTCTGTTTAATCATGTGCTCAAAAGTTAAAAGTTAAAAAAGATTTTCTAAGGAAAAAGCAAAGTAACGGAGTGTCAGTGACGTATTAGGAAAGAGTACATTCTAATCAATATGTGCATATAATCTTTTTCTTGTTCGAGTTTTTCAAAAGCAAAACCAACGAATGGTACGATGTAGTGTAATGGTACGATCGATTTTGGCCGATTCTGTCACTCAAAATCGATTACGCAAGAATCGATTGTCAGTCATTTTGATACCCCAAACCAGCTTTTCCCTCCTTGAAAATGACTGAAAATCGATTCTTGCGTAATCGATTTTGAGTGACAGAATCGGCCAAAATCGATTTAAATCAGTTCAAATCGATTTTGAGCCAAAATCGCTTGAAATCGATTTGAAATGGCTCAAAATCGGCCCAAATCGAAAACAGCTCAAAATCAGCTTTTCCTCCGTGTTAATATGAGAAAATTCAAGGTGATCGGAAACAAAACTTTCCAATAGTGCTTTTCTAGCACTTTCAATAACTCGAGATACAGCTTGTTTATCTGGTAATTCGAATAATAAACCCAGAACTGTATTAGATAAATCCAACCATAATTTACATAATAAACAGGCCACCGCTGTACGTATCGATCTAATTGACGTATTACGAATTGGTGAAACTACTATCTCTTTTGTTAAATTATAAAATTGTGCTTTGTTTAAGCTCGTCAAGGTATATCGTATTAGGAATCGCATTACAATCATCGAAATCTAAACCGTTTTTTTATTGTAAAGCATTTGGGAGGTATTGATTAACAATTGAACATCTCCCGTCTTAAATATGGTACTTTCGATCTTGTGTGGCTTGACTATATTTATTGCGTCGAGTATTAAACGACCATACTCTAAATGTTCACCACAACACATTGAGCCTTTACGTATCATAACATTTTTCGTTAGAAAAATCATATTTCGATCTTCAACTGCTACGGTCTTTGACGAACCATCAATATGAGCCCGACAAATACAACACGTTCTAGAAGCAAAGAAATCCGGTATATTCAAAACTGATGATGTTGTTGCAGTCAGTTAGTTCAGACATTTAAGGGATAGACGCGCTTGACCCGGGGTAGTACTCCTGCGCACCATTTATTCTCGAATTTATCTATATCGCTTTGTGGCTCGCGACACTCCCTAGCGAATGATACATAAAGTGGCGTGGTTGACGATGAACTGGTTCGACAATACAACCGATAAACCCTGTTAACCTATGGATCTGTGGAGGTCAAGGCGAATATTTCTAGTGTTAGGATTCTCGTGCCTCATTTGCTCTCAGCAATATGTATATCGCTTTGTAGCTCGCGAAATTCTTTATCGAATGATATACAAAGTGGCGTGATTGACGATAAACTGGTTGGACAATAGAAGCGATAAACCCTGTTGACCTATGGATTTGTGGAGGTCGGTGCTGGTATTTCTAGTGTTAGGACTCCCGTGCCCCCTTTGTTCGTTGTACTAAGGGTGTTCCAAAAGTAATGGCAACATGCTTTATTACCATTTAAAAATTAAAAACTTTCAAAAACTAAGCAATGCATAATAAAGTATATTCAATAAGCTTTCGAATGATATATAATACTTGT